AACAACCTTTATTAATAATAGGTACCATTTTCCTTAATAAGGTAGAAATAAAATATAAACTATTTCCACGATTTACAAAGGCCTACAAAAAAATTATAGGTATTTTCCGCTATCCTATAAAATTTATATTTTCTGACTCAATTTCAAAAGGTTGAAGGAATTCCAAAACACCTTTTATGGCATAATAATTATTTTCAATTCTACATACTATCTTTAGCTGCTTTTAAAAACGTTCTAAGAAAGTCCAATCAGACCAATTTAATCCCTAAACTATTCCACACTTTTAAAATTTAATTACCTAAAAATATTAAAAACTATTTAAAATAACTTGTTTAGCAGACTGTACAATAGCTATCTTAGTCACACGTAGCGCGTTCTCTGTCTGGGCGTCGAACACCTCTAGAAATTTGATGAACTGTATATCTTATTATTGAAATCATACTTCGTTTTATTTTCCTTTTTCATGCTTTTTATTTTGTGCCTAAAAAAAAATGACTTTTTTCTTATTTGATGTGCTAGTAAATGTGAATTACATATTTATTCACATTTCCAGTGCATCAAATCAGAAAAAAATCATAAAAATAGTAGATAAAGTGGATCTACATATTTGAATTTCCCGCGGTTCTTCTTTTTTTTAAGAAAAATTTTTAATTGACTGGTTGCTTATAAAGAAAAAGGCCACTATTAAAGCACAAGGTATACCAGCGCCATCGGCCTCATCTTCCAGTCCAATCGCCCAGTCAATTCTTGGTGAAAAGCAAAATTGCATTGAGTTAACCGTCTCTAGTTGTCTCTGTATAAAGTAACAAATATTTTCTTTACAGGCAAAATCATATAATACTTTTTAGCAGAATTCAATTATTTTTAAATTAAAATACTACTTTTCTAAAGACTATAACAATCTCAATACAAACTACTGGTAAAATTTATCAATATTTGTTTTACAGATAAAATTTTACACCCAAACTTTGTATGTTTATGACAAAATATGTAATTAGATGGTATGTATTTGCAATAAGGGCAAGATTTATTATCTGCAATAACATAATGAAACAACCGATCTTTTTTGTTCAAATACATAATTATAATATAATTACATTATTACATAGGTATTATACTTTTTTATTCTACTTACCGATGATTTTGTAAAGGAATTTGAATTCCATCTTCAGCTTCGGTTTGCATAAAAGAAGCGACATTTTTTATAATCTGTGGATAATTTGTCCTTTTAAACCAACAAGTTTTTTAGGAGGCATGGTTGTAGATTAAATAAAACACACAACACTCACTTATAAACGTCTTAAAATAGTCGAAAATCAAAAATATTTAACAAAGAAACGATTCCAAAACCACAACCTCAAATGTCAAACGCTAACGTCGCTAACAAATAAATAAATAAATAAATGGCTATTGGCATAAAAGTGTTCGTTCTACGCCAGCGGCTTGATCCTGTAGTTACTAAGCGACGTAGGTAAACAAGACAATTTGGTTTCTACGACTGTCATTGTTGCAACTTCAACTGGGTTCTCTCGTGAAACGTAGACTAAAGTTCAACTTAAGGTAGTTCACTCGCGACAGTCGTACATAAAAATATCGCTTAATGGTGAATACCAATAGTTCGAGATTCTCAATGCTAATCAATTTTATTTTTGTAAGAGACTGTACAAAACACATGTAAGCTTATATCATCTTATATATATGGATTTTAATAAAATCCATCTGGCAACCTCATAAATACATGAATGGTTTGCTATAGAAATTTGTGACTTCCTCATATTAATTTTAAGGGTTTGTTTCGGTTCAAACAGAACCGCTGATTCCAGTTCTCAAATACAGTGGACGAATTAATTTTTCAAGTAAACGTCGCGAGGTTATAACATCCTCTTAGCAGATCGAGTGTTAGTTTGGTACAACGCGTTGATTGCAGCGTATACAACGTTGCCAAGTTGTAATAATTTTACCAACTACGCGTCGATTGCTTTAAAAATATTTTTATTTTAAAAATCTATATCTTTTTACTAAGAAGGTCAAAAAATTCAGCGTTTCTTTAGAACATTTTTTTACCTTCTTGATTTACATTACATTAGTTTTTAAAAAATATGGTAAGAACAGTTTTCGAGATATCTGGAAATAAATGCATTACTTGTGTACATGAGAGGCTTCAAGAGCGTTAATTATGCACATTTTGATTGTTAATATCTCGTTTCACATATGGTCAAAAAATTTAATTTTTTTTATTTACATAAAAGACACTTTCATTAACCTTATATTTCAATTTTATTGAATTCTTAAGAAAAGCCATTTTACGAGTGAACTACCTTAAAACCAAACCGAACACCTTAAAAATGTCCAATTCCTTTGGAGCCTTTATTTTTATTCCGATTTTTGTGAAATTTTCAGGAAATGCCATTAATAACAAAACTTAGGATGAAGAAACCTTGGATTTTTGTAAACCTATGAAAAGTACTTATTTTGATAATTATTAAAATAAAAATAAAAACGTTTACATGCCATTCTGTATTGGTGCTTTTTAACCTGCTTCAAAAAAGGAGGAGGTTCTTAATTCGCCGTAATTTTTTTTGTATGTATGTTCAGCGATAATTCTTTAACAGGGTGTCCGATTTCAATGATTTTTTTTTTGTTAGAAAGGGGGTACTTCAGGGGTGGTCCCATATTAATTTGGTCAAAATCTAATAATTGGGTCCATTATAAAATCCTAAAACTCTTCATTTTTAATGTATGTTTAGCGGTAATTCTTTACCACCTTGTCCAATTTTTATGATTCAGGGTGGTCCCATATAAATTTGGTCAAAATCTAATAATAGGGTTTATGAGAAAAATCCACAAACTCTTCATTTTTTATGTATGTTTAGTGTTAATTCTTTAGCACCGATTTCTAGGATTCTTTTTTTGTTAGTAAGGTTAAAGTTAAGTTGTGGCGACGGCATTTGCACGATTTTGAAGTCTGTTTTTTAAAATTACTCTTAATATTGGTTTTTTGTTGTTTTAATAAATATCTAGTAGTTTTTGAATGGGAGGGTTTGCCACCTTTTTTGTTAAATGTGTAGAGTGCTGCTTTTTATTGCTGCACATATTTAAAGCTCTCAATATTCTCGAGACATTTATTATCGCGAAGTATTCCCAGTGGCGCACATATAAATACCATTTTATATAAGAAAATCCACAAAACATTTTTGCTTTTCGTGAGAGGTCCGGTTTGCTCTTAAAAATATTCCTAGTGTTCAGTTAATATTTCCATACAGTAGTTACATTTGTCATTGAAATTATGAAATTCGGAATTATATTTTTGCGTCCCACTTCAATAAAATAGTAATAAATATGTTACAATTTAAATAACAACGGCAACACTTAGCCTACTTACACATGTTATAAAATGTATCCCCAGAGGATGTATCGCTTAGCTTGAATCGACAATAGGTTTGTTACAAACATTATCCAAACTTTTTAACCGTACGTTTGAAATATTAAAACGTTATTTTTAAATTGCAGTTTCTAAATGTTCAAGAAACTGATTACATTTACTTTAGTAAGGTCGGTTCTTATTTGGAACATCATTCCACAGGAACGAACGTTTTTACCTTAAGTTTACTTTCTTCTTTATTCCTTATGCGCATGTCAAGTACAATTCACTCTTACTAAATAGCTGCTCGAGAAATTGTTCACTCAAACCAACAACTGAAAGGTGTCGTGGGTTTTACACCGGGTCGAACGAAAGGTATAGAATCCGTTAGTGTAGTTTATTTCTACATCAGTAGTGGAACGAACGAAAGAACTTAATAAATTCCACATGAAATCAATCCCAAATAAAATTAATTTAGTTTTTGTGTGATATCAATAACTGTGAGTACATTAATGTGTTATTTCATATGGCCATTAAACTCCCCCCTTTTTTCATGACAAATTTATTTTTCTTCGCTTCAGAATTGGCACGAAGTTGTCAGTGCTGTATCTACTACTTGATCTCATCTTTAATATATACCTATTTATTACAGGAATACTCGTAAAAAAGAACGTCATATATTATTATTGTCTATCTTCAAAAGAACTATTGTTAAATATTCATAAATCTCGAACAAAAATCTACAACAATACTTTTTTGATTATTTTCACCTAATACATTTAAAAAATAAAATTGTACTACATAAGTATTTGTATATTGATATCATAGGAACTCTGAACTTATCCTTCTGCTTGAAAAAGTACCAGTAATGTTTTTTAACAGTATTTCATTCATTGGAAGCACTTAAAAAGACCCAACACTAAATAAAATTGAATGTAAAAGCTCAGATCATGGTTATCTATGCCATTTCAAATGGATAGTACTATGTGTAGAAGTAAAAAGAACTATCTGTTTACAAAACTTATAAAATTAAGATGGCATTACTGTACTTGAAGGTCACCGAAAGTTGTGACAGTAGATAATTCAGATCACACAATGATATCTATAGTTGTATAGATAGCTCACCCATACGTAAATAAGAGGGTATATTATAAGCTTGAAGGGTGTAGCGTAAAAACTACGTCTTGAAAAGTCATAGTGAAAAGTGACTGAGCTTATAATAGTAGAGACATTTTGATAGTAGACGACAACAGTGCGTTTCGTCGTCTGATTTACAAATGGATGATCAATCTATATAACTATATATCATTGGATTTTTCCTTTTTAGTACACGAGCGCCATTCTGGTGGTCACTTTCTGAAATCTTATTTACTGCTTTTTGGGTGGACAGTTTTTGAGATAAACAACAATATGAGATTGTCCTCCTGTTTCTTTACACCCCATAGTACCATCAGAATAAAAACAAATTGCTAATGACAGTCGCAAATCTGCTTTAGTGGTTGCCTACGGTAAAGTACCTGCCGTTGTGATTTTTAATGGTGCCTCATGTTGAACAGTCAGGGGGTTTGCTTATTTTGAACCGTTATTTCTATTCTACTATTTTGAATTCCCTATGTCTAAATTTTTTGTATATTTCCAGACAGAACAAAGAGAAACCGTGATTCCCAGTCCTGTTCCCACAATCCTGAATGTATTCACTATAAACGAAACCGAAAAGCTTCCAATTATTGAGTAACTTTGTTTTAAATGTACCCGCCCTATTTAAATATTTGTTGCAACATAAATGAAATGAAAATAAAGAAATGGTTCAGTTCATTGAATTTTATTTGCGGGTTTTAAATAATCAGCCAATAGAAACATGTTCGGGTCAACGTACATCATATTGTCAATATCTTACGTATGAAGAACAGTTAGTTTTAGTTGGATGTGATTATGAGGCACCATCTGGCTCTCCCTTCGTAAGGGCGGTAGGGGTAATATTGGTTACATATGCTACAGGTGAATTATTTTGCTACAAAATACGATTTTTTTATTCAGATCAGCACAAAATTCGCAGGTGTTATATTGAAAAAAACTCATAACAAAAAACTAACTAAGTTTTGAATATATGGTAATTCGAAGCACTTCTGCGTAATTATTTAAAAAAATGTTAAATTGTCCTCTGTAGGACTTGTTTAGTTTTCAAATTTTGTAGTTCATATTATTTTTATTTGGCCTTTGACAAAAAGTAGAATATTGGCATTTTAACATAAATACAGGACTACAGGTGCTACATCCTCTATGTTGAGCTGCTAAGGACAGTATTTAAATAATTTTATGGACCCCAATACAAATTTTGGGATACTGTTTTTATGGAAACTATTTGGTTCTTATTATTTATAAGGGAAGCTTGGAATGTTTTTTATTTCTTTTAAACTGCCATTAAAAAAGTGTACAGTACATTCTTAGTGCAACTCTGGGTACTACCATATTCCAACGCTATATATACTAATCCATGTAGCACGTGGATTTGACTGACATTTGGTAAACGACCTTCTAACAACCAACTTGCCTAAAGAACCATAGCTGTCACCAAATGTAACAATCAACAAATTTAAAGATTCAGGTGTAACAAAACTGATAGGTCTTTAGTTACTGTTGTCACTATATTATTAAGTAGTGATGGGTCGTTTTGAATAGTCCACAGACAAGTCCGACGGACTAGTCTGAAAAGTTGACTAGTCCAAACATACTTTTCAAAAAATGGAAAAGTGTATTGCATATGCGCGAAATTAAATTAACTAATTCGTCTGAATTTCTTACAAAGGCAAAATTTAGTTTAAAAAAGAAAAAACGACAAATGTTTACTGACTTAACGATGTTTTCGAATTTTCGTTTCATATCTAAAAATTACCAAAAAATGCAAATATTGTTCCCAAAGTGTTTTTGAAAAAACATCCAGGATGGAGATTTTATTGTCTTCTATGCTTAAGGTCCACTACTTTTTATTGTGACTTTTCATTACTTTACACTACTTTTCCTGACATGTCCGTCGGACTAGTCCAAAAATGACTTTTCATGAAAAGTCTTATCTCTACTATTAAGGGATAAAGGCAGCTCTGTAACCAGCCAAAGGGTCCTGGAGTCCTCCAAGAGGAACATCCATTCACCAAGGGCAAATAAAAATAATAAAAAAATTATAAGAACTAAAATTATCCCTTTATAGCATAGTCGAGCGGCTTTGGCAACTAGTTATAGACTTCTAGTCCTTAGGGGTAGAAACGCCTAGGCTTCACAAATGCTCGGAATATTTCATAACTGGTTTTGGAAAGAGGAGTTGAAATAATAAGTGAATAAACAATAACACGTACACTTAATATAATTACAAAATTTCTAATAGCCTCAAGAATAAATCAATTTATATTTAGAGAATAAATATTGAAATAAATGAATATTGATAAATATAAGATGCATAAAACTTGGGACGAAACTGGAAAAACTGTCATTTATATGGAAATAAATAATTAATTGTCTTCAAACAAATCCCAAGTTTCAGGCTATAGCCCTTACTCAAGTCTTATCTTTCAGCAAGAGTTTGGGACAACAGCCTTTAGTATTTTCTGTGAACTAACGATAGTCTATTTTAAACCTAAAAGTATTACCTTGGATAAAGCTTCAGTTCAGTGTTAGCCATTGACTGGAGTAATAACTTAATTGTTTGGTTTATTTCAATATCTGTGTTTTTCTATTTGAATATTGAGTTAAAACCGAGGGGTAAACCACTCCCGAAATACTGGTACGTTTTCACTCAAAATCACCGAAATCACTACGAAAATTCCGAAATCATCATCAAAAATTATGGTCGAAATCTTTTCGAAATTAATTTGTCGCTCAAAAACGTAAATTCAGTAGCTTGTGTATCAAAAGACAAGGGAATAATAGAAAAAAATAGGTCATCGTATACAATTAAGGTGGATTTTCAGAAATCACCGAAATCACATAAAACATTTTTAGGTGATTTCCGAAAACGGGTACGTTTTGACCTTAGTGGTTTCCCCCTCGATCAAAACATTTAAATTTTTGTGTAATTTTTTATATTTTATTAATAATAATGCCAATTATTACAACCTGATTAAAACAACTATATCGTTTTAATGAGGCGGGATGAATGTCGGTGTTTGTTTTACTGAATCTTCAGAAGTTTTGAGATAATACAAAATAATGTATGAAAAACACCCAAATAAAACTTACTCGTTGATAGTTATTGAAACTTATAACATGTGATAGTTTATTAATGATAAAGTACTTTATCTAATTTGATTCCTAAAAGAAGAGAAAATAAAACTGTTTCTCTAAAACCAGATTAAACACATTGTATACTTACATAATATATAATTTTTGTAATAAAAACGAATTTCCTTTTTTCCGTTACTTCATAAAAATATGACAACATTGCTTTACATAGAAATTAAATTTGGCGCCATCTATTGATGGCGTTATTATTATAATTAAACATATAAGACTTGTAAATGAAAGCAAAAAATGAAATATTTTTTATGTAGCATCTCTAATGGACCGTCAGATAGTGACATGTTTAGGTGCCCAATTTTCGCGTACAAGCCTCGAAGAGGGTTGAAAAGTACATCGATTTTAAGTAGAAGGAAAATAAATTTACGAGTGGCTCCTGGGGATAACACATGGAAAATTCTATTTTACCCAACAAAAATAAAAGGTTATTTGTTGTCTATACATCCACGCAATCCGTTTTCACTATATGATTATTTAATAGAACTAGGCTTCGGAAAACCAAAGGCTTTAATGTTGCAAGTGGCTAAAGAGTTGAAATAAGGGCGTAATTTTCTAAGGAAAAATCAAGATTTTACCAGATTTTTCCACACAAGCCCATCGAATGTATGAAAATGTACATCGTCACTAGTCCGAAAATATATTTTCTTGAATAAAATAAATGTATAAGTGCATTTTGGGATAGGAAAATTTTTCTGATACGGAAAATCGAATTTTCCATATGTTATCCCCAGGGGCCACTCGTAAATTTCCTTTCATTCTACTCAAAATCGATGTACTTTTCAACCCTCTTTGAGGCTTGTATGCGAAAATGGGGCACCTAAATCGGCCACTATCTGACTATAATGGTAATATATTCTAGTTCCTGAAATAGTTTTTACAATTTTTTTTTAACTTGTTAAATTTTCACAATTTTGTTCCCATTTCGTTTCCATTCCTCCCTCAATTTTTTTCCACTGTTTAATTATATTGAGTATTTTATTGTCATTTCGTTTTGCAGCTGCAGGAGCTTCGACCAGCCGAACGAATCCGGGCGGGAATCATCCGTTGACGGCCATCACCAATCAAAATCAAAACGTTTCACCTTCCGACAAATTCACGGAAGCGGACGTTAGCGGTTTAGTTTCTATGGGGTTCAGTAGAGAACAAGTGATATTCGAACTCAGACGGTTTAATGGAGATAAAACGCAAGCGACTGCCGCGCTCTTCGCTAAATCCTTAAAATTTTAGTTATTTATTTGGGGAGGGAGGGGGATTAGTGATGCTAAGTGAAATGATTAGGAAATATATTTAATTTTTGTGTTGTGTGACACAGTAACTTTTTTAAGAGAAAAATGATACAAAAATAGTGGATACTAGCAAAATCGCTTATTTTATCGAGATAATAAAAATTGTAGAATCAGAGTATATCACTTTGGATTTATTTACATTTGTAATGGCCATTTAGATTAAATTTGGAGAGACCCTCAGGGTTATGTGTTGAATTCCATTTTATTCCTTTATATAAATGATTTAACTCATCTCAAGATTGCAAGTACTTTTACTCTATTTGCTGATGACACTACGATTTTATGGCAGCAACTTAGATGAAAGAGACAAGAGATGTAACGTTGCACATAGCGCATGTTGTCTATTCCAACCTTAAGTAACCCACCAATTAAAAATAATTGTTTCCACGACGCGACTCGAATTGTTCCGACATTTCAATTTTACGCTCATCTCCGCGAGAGTGAATCATCATGGACCGCCGTTTTTTGAATTATTTGTTGGAATTATTAGCAATTTAAAGTATTTTAGTTATTCAATTTCAAGTTGAAAATGCCACGATGTATCGTAAAAAATTGTATATACAAATAATATAAGTGCCAATGTTATGAAAAGTAAGGAATTTATTCGTTTTCGCGGTAAATATTTATTAACGTTTTGACATAAAGCCGCCATGATCCTTTAAACTGAATACTTCAGATCCGCATTAAGGGGTTTTAATAAACATTAGGCACCAAATATTTCAGAAAACAGATTTCATCCTACTTACATACATTTTCTAATGGGCAAAATTATGAACATTTAATGTAAATAAGAAGAAAAAAGGTATTGTTGCTAACGAAATTTTGTTTTTAAAAAGTAGTTTTAAAAGAATATTTACTAAAGGTAGTTTTTAGCCCTTTTTGGTAAATAAATAAGAAATAAAGAAGCATACTTGGTAGCGAAATATGTATTAAATTTATGAGGCATTTTTATGAGAATATTAGATGAAATACAGGATGACCTACTTAAAATTTCAAAGTTCTTATTTGCGGTCAAATCGGATGTGACATTTGAATTTTAAGTCTTAAAACAAATTAAAACGCACAATATGATTTAGTATAAGCAAAAAAAATACTAAAGTTACGAGAGTTAGTCACATTGTTAATAAACCCCTAAACAACTCGAAAAAATCTAAATTCTTGCAATATTTATTATTATACATTCGAATGCAGTTTTTAAGGATAACGGGATCAAAAAATTCAAATCTCTAAATTTGCTCGG